CTGTGCCGCACACAAGTGGGTGCTGGGGGTTTTTTTTAAAGCATCGTGGTTGGTTGGACTCTTGGAGGTGGATGTTATAGCTCGGTATTAATTAAGCATCATTAACAAAGGTCTTCCTAATTTTTATTTCAAAATACACGAGTTGACTGGAGGATATATACCTTTTATTTCTTGTTGGAGGAGGAAAATTGTCATGTATTTAGCATTTGATTAAAGACGACTTTGTTGTTTTTTCCAAAAACTGCATCATTTAATGTAATTAAACATGAGCTTTGTTGTCAATACTCTTCAGTTAAATGCACTGGTGAGTGCCAGCAGCATTTTTCTTATTTGTCTTGTCTGCATGGTGTGGTGGTAGTAGGTCGTTGCCTTTTAATAAGGTCTTTTGCAGTCATTTTGTGGGCTGCCTCCTAACGTCTTCTATAGAGTATCCATGGTCCGTAGACCACAAGTTGAGTAACATTACTCTGGACTTAAGAAACAAAATATTCTGTTAATCTTATTTCAGCATGTCCTTTTAAAAAAAAAAAAGTGTATTTTGAACTTGAGCCATGTGTTTTCATTGGGATCTTTATACCTCTTCAGAGCATGGATGAACCGGTATTTTCTGTGAGCTGGGAGTGTCTTGTTGTTCTCACCTTTCAGACAGATGAACTAAGGCAGGGGGTAATTACAGCAACTGGCCCACGTTTGTACTGTGTCAGCAAAGCCAGGGACCTGGCCTGGGAATCCTGCTCTCCCTCAGGAGTCCAGAGCTGACTGGGAGGGTTGGCTCTAACTTTGAAGAGCAACAAGTATGTTCAATGAACTTAATTAAATTTTTTGCAACTGGATTTAATTGCAAACCCTTATTTTAGAGCCGTGGTGTTTTAGCACGGTCCTGACTGCATCAGTGTGTGCTTTGCCGCGGTCGGGAGCTGCGCTGAAGGCCCAGCACGGAGCTGTACAGCCCCGTGTCCAGGTGCTGTCGGCTGGGAATCCGTAGATGACTGCAGGGTGTTGTGGACTTGTCCATGCCCATCTCTTGGTCTGGGTGTGGATGTGCTTGGCTCAGTGCTGTGCCCGAGCTGGGGACGCTGCTGGGAGCTGGCAGGCGCTGGGACAGCCGGGCGTGCGGGCAGAGCTCCTCGGCATGTGGGCCAGCCTGCAGCAACTTGCAGTGGCTTGTAGTCTCCTTTCATGGTGTGAACTGGGAAAAACAGGTGATGGGGAAACAATTTTAGACAGTAAATGGCTCATGAAGAGGAGAAACAGGGAAGCAGGTTGGTGGCAGGGGGAGGATGGAGGGAGTTTTGGAAGCTTCAGCAGCGGGGCAAAATCCTGAAAGTCTCCCAACAGGGGGAAATAAATGTGTTTAGGAGGTTCCGTGGTCTAGTGCCTCGTCTGCAGGTTCATGGTGTAGTCCTGATTCTGGGTTTGCTTGTAACCTCCAGCTTTCTCCTGTTCCTAATCAGAGACCATAAATCTCTTCGTACCTAGTGCTGTAATGGCTAACACAGGTCTGTGGGTAAAACATTCTCGGATGGAGACTCCAACTGGGGGGGAAATACTTTTCCTGTGAGACAATGTCTGTTCCTCATCAAAATCAGTTGAGAAAAGTAGGAACCAAACAGTTTGATTTTAAAGATTGAAAGAGCCTGGCTGCACTCTTTCTCTCTCTTATTTCCATTAATCTGTTCCTATTGTTTGTGCTCCTCTCTTAAAAATAATTATTAAAGGGTTGTGGAGGAGAAGGCACCCCCGTGTCTTCTGCTGGGAATAGGTGGCCAAGCAGTGTTCCAGCTGCACCCAGCTCTGAAGTGGCACCAATACATCCCCAGCATAGTCCTGGGCTCCCACTTTACTCCCCACAGCAGCACCCACAGCCTTGTTGCCAGCTGGTCATGGACCCTCCTCCCTGAAGCAGTGCTGGGCTGGGCACATGGAGTGTAAAAATGGGATCTGAGGTGATGGCATTTCTGGAGATGCTCCAGTGCTTTGGTGGCCTCATTTGGCTCCAGGCCACAGTCCTTCTGTGATGGAAACATCCAGGGCCTCGGGCTTGCGCTGAGATCTTGCTGGTGGCCTGCTGTTTGCAGGTGTGGAAATGCATGGGCTGTGCTTCTTTGCCTGTTTGCAAGCACTCTTGTTTTTCCAAGGCTTCTAGCAGGAAGCCTCAATAGAGACAGAGGTGGTTTGCTGCCCTTGTTAAGGAAAAATCCCTTTTGTGTTCTTTCTAATGTGTGATTAGTGCAGGGCATGGCTCACAGACATGGTGACTTGGTGCAGGATGGTTTTGTTGGCCCCTCTTTAAGTTGATCCTGTGTCTCTAGCCCTCTAGCAGTTATCTTGATTTGAGTTGCACAGTCAGAGGCAAAAAAGCTTTTGAACTGTTTAAGAGCTTGATACCATGTTTCTTTGCACATGGTGCTGAGTTTTAAGCCTAACTTCTGATCTGAAGAGTTTGAAAAAAGAAAAACCATCCTATTTCCTTTATTCTAGACAGCTGGCTTGGTGTGGTCAGGTCTACCTGCTGAGCTTCCAGGGAAACCTTGGCTTGCTGAAAGCTTCCAAGGGCTCTGGACCCCTAGCTGGAAGTGTATTTGTGTGTGTGTGTATTTACATGTGCTAATTAACTTGTAGGTGGCTGCAAGCCAAGATGTCCGAGTCAGAATCCGTTATTAGGAAAGTACCTTAAATTACTGCAGATCCCAGCGAGGTTTTGGAGCCCTTGAGAGCCCCGTGCACGTGTCCTTGGCAGCTGCAGGGAGGGTTTGCCCCTTGAGAAACACACGGGCTGCAGGAAGGTGGTCATGTCTCCTGGGAGGATGCTGGTGTGTCCCTGGAGGGTGAGCAGAGAGGGTGTTGAACCACGTGCTCCTGGCACAGTCCCCATCTTTGTGTGGGAATTGGTGATTAAAATCCCATCCAGTCGGAAGCGTGAGGGGAAGTGGGACAGTCATACTGGAAGTATAAATACGCGTCTTCTGGGTGCCTCTGAATTCCCCTGCATGCTCAGGGGCTTTCCTGCCCGGGGTGGATTGCACTGAGCACGCCAAGCTGTTGCATGGGGAGGCTGTCTTGTCTGGGATGAGGGTCAGGCTGCTCCCAGGCCACTCGTGCTTCCCTGGGGTGGCAGGTAAGGTGCTCTGGGGCTGAGCAGGGATGTGTGTGTGCAGGGCTGGGGGGAATCCCAGCTCATGTGAGTGGAGTGAGCCAAAAGCAGGAAAGAAAGATATGATTGCCTCTTTGCTCCATGCCTTGAGAGCTAAACCTTGCTGTGCATTTTTCCATACATCAGTTGGCAAAATACCTTTCTCCAAAGAGTTTCACCTGACCCTCGGCAAGAGCGTGGCAACGTCTTTGTGTGTCTGTCATCCTTAGACATCATGGGGATTTGCTGAAAAATATGATTTTTTGGTAAAATTTGACCTCTGGGTGAGGGAACCTCCCTAAGCTGCTTTCCTCTGGCTGCTCGTTGTGCCCAGGCTGTCGGGGACCGTTGCCTTGGTTTGGTTTTACTTCTGCTGTGATCGATGTGTCAGTGCCGGCAAACCAGCGAGGCGGCCCTGTGCCTGCCTGAAGCAGATAGCGAGGAGTTTATCAGCACGAGCTGATCTGTGGTCTCACAGGAGGAGAAAAAATTAGAAAAAAGAAAAGCTTCCTCTTTTTTTTTTTTTCTTTCTTTTTTCCCCCCCTTTCCCACCCCTTTTTGGTTTTTTGTACACGCCAACCGCTGTTTCAGTTGAAGTTGCGTTGGCTGGGACTGGCTGTGCTCCCCTAAACTCAGAGACCATGAGCGTGGGGAGAGGTTACCGGGAGCTTGCGGCTCTGGAAACTTCCTCTGCTGCTCCTGGTGTGCTGATGGAAGATTTTGGTGCTGCCAAAAAGCCTTGCACAAGTCTATATGTAACACGCACCTGCACCGAGCAGGAGATATGTGAGTGTGTGCAGCATTGGGAGGGATGGAGGATGGATCCCAGGGAGCTGGGGCTCTCCCTGCTTAGGATCAGTCCTTGTAGCATCTCCTGAGCTCAGGCAGCAGTGGGAATTTATGGTTTGTATAACTAACCATTAATATGTGAATAATAGTTAATGCACTTCAAGCTGGCAGTGATGAAATGCAGCATGTAGACCTTTGATAGTTTTTCATTGTAATCCATACAGAAACCAGGAGGCTTAAAATCCTCACCAAGCAAACTACATGAAGTATCTATAAAAGTCAGTAGCTGGTAAATCTCCCCTTGGGCCAAGGAGTATCTTCTGACTTTGTTGGTTTCCCTGATTCTGTTGCAGCTGCAAAAGGAATTGCAACAGGTGGTACAGGAGAAAAAGCGTGGGTGGCAGGGGTGTTTGTGAAAATACCCTCAGGGCTGTGTGTCTTCTTGGACTCTTGGTCCTGATCAGAAGGGCTGATCCAGCTGGCTCTGAATGTGTGATGTGCTTTAGTCCTGGGTTTTAGTTTAGCCTCTTGGATGGGTAAGGCTGCAGGGGAGGTCAGTGCCTGGTGTCCCTCCTGGCGTAGATCAGGGCTCACCTCAGGGGGCTGCAGAAGTGGCCACAACTTGGAAAGGAGGGCGCTGACATGTGAGAGTGTGGATGTGGAAAGGGATGGGCTGGGGAGGAATCTTGTGCTGAAATGCCAAAGCTCTAGATTGTGTCTTTGGAAACTAAGTCATCCTGCAAAAAATACCCATCTCCAAGGAACTTGGAGACACAGGTCAACAGGACCCTAGCAAATTGCTGGCAGTTTGCTGGCCTAGTCCTGCTGGTGCTGGGGGAAGGCTTTCCAGGGAAATTGGGTGGGAGGGATTTGGGAAAATCTCTTATTTGGACTTCCCTGTGATGGAAGTAATCTACAGCAAAAATTTGGCAGTGGCGTTTGCCAGGCGGAAGACAAGGCTGCCGGGGAATTGCGAGGGCAGTGAGGTTTTGGTGATCGCCCAAGGCCTGATGTTCGGTTGTCACATGGGACCGTGGTTGACTGAATTTTAACCTGCCGCTTTCCTGCTCCCTTCCAGCTATTGCGTGACGCGGAGAGCACACACACGATGAAGAGGAGCTCTCGGCTCTCCTAACCCTTTTTGTCAGCGATTTGGAAGCAGCGACTGCCGCCGCGCCTGCTCTTCCGACATGTCTGGATCGACGCAGCCCGTGACGCAGAGCTGGCGCGCTGCCGAGCCGCGCTACCCCCCGCACGCCATGTCCTACCCGGTCCAGATTGCCCGGCCACACGCGGTAAGGCGAAGCCCTTCCTTCCCTGCCCACGCGCGGGGTGGGAGCCGCCGGCGCGTCCCCACTGCCGGGGCAGCGGTTCAGCCGCGCCGCTCTCGGATGTGGCTGCTGCACAGAAATCAGACCGTTTCCGTGCCTGTGGTACAGGATTTCAGCGTTCCCCTCTCGTGGGATCCTCTTTTGTTCCTCCATATGGTGCTTTCAGCTTTTCTCTCCCTTTCCAGCCTTTTTCCTGGCGCTTGCTGCGGCAGGGCTCTGACTTGTCATTTCTGAGCACCTCTGTCCGTTTGTCCTCCTGGCAGGACCACCCTTGCTTGAGTGCAGTATCCAGCCTGGGGGGAAAGGGGAAGGTTGACTGTTTGTGTGGAGCAGGAGCACGTGGCCTCCGAGCCTCTTCTGCATGGCCTTTCCTTGGCCCTGAATCAAAAGGAATGACCATTCTCTCCTGCATGTGGGCTCACTACTTCCCCACGAGCCCAGTCCTTGCTCCTCACACCCATAGGAGAGCTCTTCTGGTTCCCAGAAAAACTGTTGGGAGTGAACCTGCCCTCTGTTCAGGAGATCTGCCTCTCTTTATGTGGCACTCCTGGGGAGAAAGAAGATAACTGAGCTGCTGAGCTTTCCATTTTATCCTTCCACAGTTTTTCCTCCTCTTATATTGATCCCTAGCCTTTTTTCCTCTTGGATCAGGGCATAAGCTGGTGATGTGTTTTTGTTTTTTTTTTTTTTTTTGGCTGTACCAGAACTTGCAGAAGTTGATTCACCTGGATCCAGCCTCTCCTTTCTGTGCCATGTCACTCACATCTGTGCTTGCTCATGGGTGAATGTTTTAGGTTTAAGCCCTTAACAGAAGAAACTCTCCTTAGTGGAACAGCTTTAGTCAGCTCAGGCTGCTTAAAGGAATCTTATTAGGTGCTGGAGTATGGCTCACACTTGCAAGGCTCTTCAGAGCTGCTTCTTGGTGGGTCACAGCAAGGTGGCCACAGGCAGGAAGGTGCCTGTAACACAAGTCAGTGAGGAGACCTTGTCTGGGAGGTATGTTTGACAGTGACAGCTACTGAATGGTCAGGTACAATCTGCGCTGGTTTCAGTGTTTGCCTTCAGAGCCTGGAAACCGACAAAGTGTCAGTGAAGGGGTGAAATTCCCTCGTTTGCCCTCTTTGCCTGGCCTCAGCAGAGTGGCGCAGGGAGCAGAGCTGGAGTTTGGAAAGGCTTTGAAATAGAAACGCTAAGGAGGGCGCGGGACGAGCTCTTGGCTGTGTTTGCTGGCTCATCTACATTGCTCGGGGCCTGCGTGCCGCTGCACAAAGAGGCTTTTCATCCCGGGTATGAGACACGCTGACCTGGTTCGATTTATGGGAGTTTTGCTTCCATCGGTGCAAGCGTGTTTGTTTGGGGGGTGGAACAGAACCAAGAGCATTTGTCTCAGAAAGAAAATCCCAGTTCTCTTTTTATCAGAAACCGGAGCCGGAGGAGGATGTGACCAGGTGAGCACGAGCTGCAGTTGTTGCAAAACTGTGGTTTATAAACAAACCAAAGGAACCTCAATCCGCAGTGTGGAGACTTGATTTTAAAAGAGTGCAAAAGGCTCCCGGCCTTGGGGTGCTGAGCCCTTTTCTCCTGCAAATCCCGGCTTCTTCCCCTTAGTGCTGCAACAGCAGGATGAGCTGAGGGGGCAGTTGTTCACAGTGGGCTGGAGCTGGGGGTTCCTCCAGCCTGCCCTGCTCCTTGGCTGCAGTGAACACTGTTTTTTTTCTATTGTATTAATGTTGGAAGAAGTTGCTGGCGTTTGCTTCTAGAAGCTATTTTTACAGCCACATGTAATCACCCGAAGTTATGTGATACCTTTTGAGTGTCTGGATGCAGGAGAGGTGTGAGCTGAGATTTTTTTTTTTTTTTTTTTGGGATGGAAAGCCAAAAGGCTCCCCTCAGCAGAAGCGTGACAGCCCCCACACAAGCCAACACACCTTGCCCCTCCTGGGAGGGTAGGTGGAGTGTTTCTGGAAGCGTGTCCCTGCATGATCTGCCCCGCTGCTCTCAGCTGTTTGCAAACACGTGTCTCTTGCTCGGTGGCGCCATGAGCTGGAACCTGGCCATGGCTCTGGGGCTGGAGCTGATCTCTGGTGGGATTGCTTGGGAGAGGAGAGCCCAGTTCCTTTGAAGTTGCTGTGCTGTTTAATATTAAAAGTCAGCGGTATTTGCTTGCATGTCTTGGCCAGGTCAGTTTTGTCATGGGGTGTGTTTGCACAGTGAGAGCTTGTTTGGAAGAAAGAAAGAGAGGCCAAAACCAACCCGACACTAACATGTCTTGCATCTAATTAAATTTTGGTTCTGGTTTGTTGCGTTCCAAGACATCCTTTCCTGAGAACTGGGAATTCGTCAGCTCAGGAATCCTTATCCTGGTGGTGGAAACGCCCTGGGTCACCTCCTGGGCGCGTATGCAGGGCTGAGCACAGCAGGGCTGCAAATGCTATTATAATATAAATAAATAATCACAGTCCAACTGTGACGGTCGCACCCAGGGAAATGCGGCGCGGCAGGAATGCTGAGCTCAGAAATGAGCCGTGACATTATTTTAGGCTTGGAGACACTTTATGAAAAGTGATTTAAAGGATTGCAGCTGTTTGATTTCACAGATGAGGCAAGTGAGAGGGGGATGTTGTGAAGGGGCAGCAGGCAGTGGAAGCAGGCTTGGGCGTTTTTCTTCTCCCATCACAGAAAACCCAAGGGGATATCCAGTAAAATGAGGAAAAATATGTATTTCAAGTGAACAAACAAGAATATGCTTTGTACATATGGGCACCTCCTCCCATCAGCGTGCTCCATGAGTTATTGCTGAGTTTGGAGCTGGCAGAGAAGACTGAGTACCGGTTGAGTGAGGATGTTTGTTGGCTGGTTTCACTCTTGGGTGCCAGCTTTGGGCAGGGCTGTGAACCTATGGGTCTGACCCAGACTGAGCTCTGATGGATGATGCAGCCAACAGGCTCTTCAGCAGGGTAAGCAGGTCCCCAGCCACATTCAGGTGAACTCCTCCTCTTCCTCCTCACTGAGAGACATCTGGTCCCAACAGCTGTTGGGGAGGCTGGATGTGAAAATGGTGCAATATTTTATAAAGACCCTGGATTTAATTCTGCCCTATTAGAAAATGACTTGCAAAAAGTGTTGACAAGTGAGCATGCTTTTGACAAGTGAGGAAGCTTGGTGAAAAGGTTCTGGTTTGTTTGACTTTCTTGAGGTAAAACTAAAATCACCAATAATCAGCAGTTTCTTCTTAAGGGCACTGAGTAATTCTTGGCCAAACTGCAGGGAAAACATTTCTGTTTTCCATATTCATTAGCTGTAATGTTGGTGTGCGTAGCTGACTTCTGTCATGTTCAGCTTGGAAACAGAGGAATTGTTTGAATGCTCCATGACCTTTATCTAAAGGTGAAAAAGCACATTACTTACGCTCTTAACCTTCTAATGTATCCGAAGTTCATGCTCTCTCAAAGGAAAGTTTCGCATGAAGGATATTCATTTTCAGGCAACCCGCAGATATTTTCTGTAAACAGATCAATTTTCCGGCGTATTTTCCTTTTAAAGCTTCCTTGTGATCAGTATTCCCTGGGAACAGAAGGGTTCCCTTCTCTTCCTCCCGTGTGAATCCGATTTCTTGCTGTGCCCTCCTTGCCAGTCATCCTGCTCCTGTCAGAGCCCTGACATTTCTGGGCAGGAATGATGTGGCTTCAGATGCAGGATGGGCTTTTCAGGAGAGCAGTATCAGCTGCAGGAGATGTTGGGGGTCGGGGCACGCAAAGTGTCCTCATGCAGCAACCTTTGTGACAAAACAGCTTCTGCTTTTAGGATGCTTTAAGTGATTTACCTACTAGAGATACTAAATAGGTTTGAGGATTAGTAGGATGGGGGTATGTGCATGTTCATGTGGAACTGGTGCTCCATTGTCTCATGAATCACCATCATGAGCACTTTTACCTCCCTAAAAAACAACAGGTGCTTGGTTTGCCTCTTTCCTGCTGTTTGCCCCCATTCCCAGCACATGGCTTTAGCTGGGATGGAAAGGTGAACTTAAGCCCTCCTCAACCCCTCTGCTGCAGCTTTGAGACCTTTGTGCTTTCCCTGTGCCACCTCTCCTGCCTGGGAACCGCTCAGTAGTTCCTTCATTAAGCTCTCCATTTGCAAAACATCCCTTGTGCAGGAGTGTCCCGGCCGATCACTCGTTTGGTTTGGCCCGTGATAAATAACTTCCTTGTCTGTCTGAACCAGAGACAAGAGGTTGGTGCAAACTTGCGTGTTGATTTGGTGTCCCAGCCAAAAGGTGGCCTGGGGGAAATCGAGTGCCTTCCCTGCCCAGACTCCTCCTCCCACCAGTTTGAGCAGGGCGAGTGAAACCCAGTGTCCTGCCGCAGAAGGCGCTGTCAGGAGACGCGAGCTCTGGGGATGGCGAGAGCTCGCTCCTCTCCACGGTGACATGGTCAGTGTGGCACAGCAATGCCAGGTAAGCCTGCAGAGGGGCAGTGTATTTTGCATTACTGCTGCTGTGTTGGTTTTCCTTAGAGTAGTTATTCACACAATTATCTCCTGGGAGCAAAATGCCGGTCTGTGTCGGGGCTGAGGCAGGAGCTTGCAGAACGGAAGAGTTTACAGTGCACCACCTCCAAGTGCAAGGAACAGGCTCCTGCTACCGGCTGAGTGAGGGGCATCCTGAATTCTGCCTGCTGGGCTCCAGCTAATGTTCTGAGGAATGAGTTGAAAATAAAAGACATACCTTTGAAATACTGACTCTGATCAGGTCTGTCACGAGAAGTCAGCGCAATCTCTCTTGAGTACCTTTGCAGTGACAGATTGCATTAGCTCTGAGCAGCTCGGTGGTGGATTTGGGAAAATTGGCTTTCTGCTGTGGGACTGGGAGAGCACAGAGGTGAAGGAACAGGACACCTAATTCCCTGCCCTAGGGTCTCCCTCCTATTGCCAGGAAGAAGGAGTTGGCTTACAGCAGGTTGTAT